CTCATGCCACCATGTATGTAAATACGTATTTCAATTAATTTCATTTTTAACCATGTATTTATGGAAATTGAATTTACGGCAAGAGAATTGAAATTAGAGACTAACATTAGTGTTTTTAAACAAAGTGAATGTAAAATGCCTTGTAAATGATATATCTTTGAAGAACTTTTAGACACTAATCACTTTTCAAGGAAGCGATCATATCGCAGTTTTTCCCAAAAATGTCAAGTATCAAGCTCGACGGGCACTTCGAGACCTGAAACATACCAGCTCTATCAGGGAGTATGTGAAAACCTTTTCAGGGCATATGTTGAATATTCGAGATATGTCTGAAAAGGATAAGCTCTTCACCTTTATGGAAGGATTGAAACCGTGGACATGCACGAAACTTCAGAGACAGAAGGTTACTGATTTGAGCAGGGCCATGGGAGCCGCCGAATGTTTGAGCGACTACCAAACTTCTTCCAGTAAAGATCGACCTTTGGAAAGTAATCAAACAATTGGAGGTGGTAATAGACCTTACAGACCCAGTTCGAACCCAAATGGGGGAGAGCGTTACTCACAGAATAAGGGAGGAGCCTATCAAAGCACTCGTGGCTTTGAGGGAAATTATCATAATAGCTATCAAGGAAATCATAACGGCAGCAACAGTAACAATTGGAACAAAGGAAAAGCAATGAAGGGCCGAACTGATGACACTCCCAAATTGACGTGCTTTTTATGCGGAGGACCTCATCGTGTGTCGGAGTGTCCTCAGAAATGGATGGTGAATGCATATTGTTAGCTAGTAAGTGGTGGGTCAAGTTCAAAGCAAGAGGCCCCACAAGTTAGTTGTCATGGTAAGACCAACTCTGAAGAGGATAGGGATGTAGTTGGGGGCATTTTCACATCGATGCAACACACTGTCACATCGGGTTGCTGAAAAGCATGATGTCCCCTTGAAAGAAGCAAGGATGGAAGAAGCGAAGGCTCGAATTTGTAAGGCTAAAGGCTTAATGTACATTGATGTTAAGATCAACGGGAAGCCAATCAGGGCTATGGTGGATACTGGTGCTACCCACAAATACCTTGCATGTACCGAAGTAGAGCGACTCGGACTTGTTCTGGAAAATGGTGGTGGGAAAGTCAAAGCAATCAACTTCGCTGCTCAACCAATAGCTGGAGTGGCAAAATCAGTGTTGATCAAAGTGGGTCCATTCGAGGGAAGGACAAATTTATCTGCAGTTGAGATGTATGATTTCAAGCTTATTCTAGGATTGGAATTTCTTCGAGATACTAAGATAGCAGTGTTGCTGTATTCCGATTCATTAATGGTGATGGGTAATAAGCCTTGTGTCATTCTTACACAAGTTGGGAGGATGGGCAAGAAGAGTATCTCGGCCATGCAATTTAGTAAGGGTTTCAAGAAAAATGAACCTTCTTTTTTGTGCACTCTTCGATTCGAGGAGATTAAAGAGGCGACTTGTCCTATTCCAAAACCCGTTAAAAGACTTATTCGAGAATTTGAAGGCATCATGCCGGACGAATTACCACCAAGAAGGACGATTGATCATGAAATCGAACTTATTCCTGGGGCCAAACCTCCCGCTAGGGCACCAAATCGTATGTCTCATCCTGAGCTTGAAGAGCTTAGGAAATAATTGGGAGAAATGTTGGAGAGTGGAATCATTGTGCCTGCGAAGTCACCATATGGAGCTCCTGTGTTGTTTCAGAAAAGGCTGATGGTTCTCTTAGAATGTGCTGTGACTATCGAGCTTTAAACAAGATCACTGTAAAGAATAGCTATCCTATCCCACTAGTTGCGAAATTCTTCCATCGACTGAGTTGGGCGAAGTATTACACAAAAATTGATCTTAGGTCCGGATACTAGCAAGTTCGGATCAACTAGGGAGATGAAGTAAAGACTACGGTGGTAACCAGATATGGAGTCTTTGAATTTAAAGTGATGCTTTTTTTGGTTCGACAAACGCTCCAGCAACATTTTGTACTATGATGAATCAGGTAATTCACGGGGTCATCGATGATTTTGTCGTGGTATACTTGGAAGACATAGTGATCTACAGTGAGACATTGGAGAAACATGTCCAACATGTGAGGCAAGTTTTTAATCGGTTATGGGAGAATGAACTCTATGCCAAACTATCTAAATGCTCATTTGCTCAGACATCTATCAGTTTCTTGGGTCACATCATTGAAAAAGGTAAAATTCGTATGGATTCGAAGAAGGTTACAACCATGAAAGATTGACAACCACCAAAAATCGTACATGATGTACGTTCATTTCTTGGTTATGCAATTATTATAAAAAATTTGTGAAAGGCTACTCAGAAATTGTACTGCCACTTACCGAATTGACAAAGAAGGATAAGAATTGGGATTGGTCGTCCCAATGCCAAATTGCTTTTGAAAAGTTGAAGAAGTCCATATGGACGAACCCGATTTTAGCCTTACCGGATATGACTAAACCATTTGAAGTTCATACAGATGCTTCAGATTTTGCACAGGTGGAGTCCTTATGCAAGAAGGACATCCGGTAGTGTATGAGAGCCGGAAGTTAAACCAAACAGAACGTCGTTACTCAGCGCATGAAAAGGAATTGTTGGCAGTAGTCCATTGTCTCGGAGGATGGCGTCACTATTTGCTTGGGTCTCCATTTATTGTGAAGATAGAGAACATTGCAGTTAGTTACTTCATGTCCTAACCAAAACTATCGAGCAAGTAGGCTCGTTGGCAGGAATTTCTTTCAGAGTTCAAATGCTAGAGTATCGTTCCAGAACTAGTAATCATGTGCTGATGCTTTTAGTCGACGGGCCAATTTGGTTGCCATTTGCTTCGTGACTGCTCTTTCAGGGAGCGCCGTCACCACAAATACAAGAGACCAAATTTGGGCACTTATGGAGAAAGACCCGACTACTCAATATTTGGTCGACCTCATCTAGCAGTGTAAAACTGGATAGTTCTAGTTCGATGGGGGAACTAGTGAAGATAAAGGGAGACCACCTATATATTCATTCCTAAGGGCGGAGATTTGAGGAAATCACTAATTACGGAATGCCACGACACGATTTGGGCAGGGCATCCTGAAGAGGAACGCACTTGTGTAATATTGCAACGTGTATACTACTGGCCTAAAATGCAGGATGACATTGCAACCTATGTAAAAACCTGTTTTATTTGTCAGCAAGATAAGATAGATCATCAGAAAAAGGTGGGCTTATTGGAGCCCCTTTCTGTCCCAACCTGACCATTCGAAAGTGTATCGATGGACTACATTATTAGGTTGCCAAAAGTTGAGGATTTTAGCACTATCATCGTCGTGGTGGACCATCTATTAAAATACGTAACTTTCATTGCAGGGCCTAAGTATGTTTCTGTGAAAGAGACGGCTCAACTCTTCTTCAAACATATTGTCAAATATTGGGGACTGCCTAAGGACATTATCAGTGATCGAGATCCTTGGTTCACTGACATATTTTGGACTAAGTTGTTCAAACTTCTTGGTTCAACTTTGAGCATGAGTTTTAGTTTTTACCCACAATCTGACGGATAGACGGAGCTCTTCAATTCTATGCTAGAAGAATATCTTCAGCACTTTATCTCTACTTCGCAGAAAAACTAGGTAAAACTTATGGATGCGGCTCTGATTTGCTTTAATGCCCAAAAGAACTCTTCCACCAATAAGAGTCCTTTTGAGATTGTTACTGGCCAGCAACAACTACTTCCTCATACAGTGGATATCGAATGAAGTACCAAGTCTCCTCAAGCGAAGAACTTTTCTTAGGAGTGGAAACAAAATATTGAAATTGCTCATCTCTACTTCGCAGAAAAACTAGGTAAAACTTATGGATGCGGCTCTGATTTGCTTTAATGCCCAAAAGAACTCTTCCACCAATAAGAGTCCTTTTGAGATTGTTACTGGCCAGCAACAACTACTTCCTCATACAGTGGATATCGAATGAAGTACCAAGTCTCCTCAAGCGAAGAACTTTTCTTAGGAGTGGAAACAAAATATTGAAATTGCTCAGAGTTATCTTGAAAAAGCTAAAAAACAGTATAATAAGTCTGCAGATCTAAAGTGTCGTTTCATTGAATTCAATGTTGGAGATCTTGTAATGGTTAAACTTCCCGATAGAAATGTTTACAAACCAACAAGACGGAAGGACTCAAGACTGGCGCCAAAATACATTGGACCATTACCCATCGTGAAGAGGATTGGAAGAGTCCCATATAAAGTTGAACTCTCTTCATGGTGTAAAATCCACAAGGCCCTTCATGTTAGTGTGCTGAAACAATACTTTGCGGATAAGAAGGACGCATCTAGAAATGAGCCAAAACACCTATGTTTGAACTGAAGAAAGCTGGAAAGAAGGTTGCTGAAGCTATTCTTGACCATTGAATCACTCGAGCTTCTAGAAAAGATCATCAAGAATATTTATTTAAATGGATTGGATGCAGCAGCGAGGAGAATACTTGGGAAAGAGAAAAGGATCTTGGAGCCTTCAAACCATTAATTGAAGCATATCATGGATTGATGACACCAAGGACGTCACCAAAACAAATGTAGGAGAATGTCAAGGACTGCAGCTTTACTTAGCCCCTTAACACATCGCAATTGTAGTTTGCCCAATTTCGACAGCACATTGTAAATATTAATTCAAGTTTGAGTTGTAATTTTCTTTTCATTGTAATAGTTATTTCAGTTGTAAAATAGCTCTGATATTAGTAAACATTTATTATGATTCCTCATCTTTTAAACGTCTACTCCTGTCACTTAAGTTTTTCTTTCGAATGCTATTATACGGGGTATTAGTCATTCAAAAACTTTCAAGCTCACTGATGTCTTCTCCCTGTACTAGCAATTGTAATTTTTTGCTTTAGTTAATTGTAATGTTCAGCTTTCATCAATCAATGTTCAATTTACTTTCAATGTATTCAAAATCTCTGTTGTAAGCTTTCTACAAAATTGTAATCAAACTTTCTTGATGGATGTTGAAGTTTACTTACTCTTCATTAACCCGTAGTGTCAACTTTCCTTCTTGTACATTAATCAACGCTCTTCCAGTAGCCATGAAAGGTCTACCAGGAATCAATGGTACTTTCTCACCCTCCTCAATGTCCAACACCGGAAAGCTCACAGCAAAGATGAACTTATCGACCTTCACCAATACATCTTCAATAATACCCTTGGGGTATGTAGTTGATTAGTCTACCATTTGCAAGGTGAGGCTTGTGGGCTTCACTTCTCCAAGACCCAATTTTTTGAACACAGATAGGGGTATCAAGTTAATGCTAGCTCCAAGGTTACACAGTGCTCTATCAAATGTGATATCACCAATATTGCAAGGAATGTTGAAGTTACCTGTATCTTTTAATTTCTGAGGGAGCTTTTTCTGGAGAATGACACTACACTCTTCTGTTAGCTTAACCATTTCAAACGCCTCCATCTTTCTCTTCTTTGACATCACTTCCTTCAAGAACTTGGCATAGTTAGGCATTTAGGCCAAGGCATCTGCAAAAGGAATGTTGATGTGGATTTTTTTGAAGACCTCTAAGAACTTTACGAACTGCTCATCAATTTTCTTTTTCATGAATCTCTATGGGAATGGTAGCGGGGGTTTCAAGATAGGTGGGTTGTTTGGAAATGAGATTGAATAAAGCTTATGAATATCTTTTGTTGCCTCTGCTTTGGTCTTCTACTCTTCAATCTGTTCTAATAGCTTCGTAGTCCTGGATGGTACTAGTTTGCTGAGTAGTTTCCTTTTTGATTGAAGTTTCTGCCATTCACATATTGGACTTGCTCCTTCTCCAACTCAAACGCATAGTATGAAGTGTAGGCATCCATGATGGAATCTGGTTTCTTCTAAGTTCACTGTGATGTATACACTGCTATTTGATTAGTGAAAGATGACATTTAAGCTGCAAGGGTGATAATGGGATCCACTCTATAAAGGCCAGCAACTTTCTTTGCACTTGGATGCTTACTTGGCCATTGATAGCTATTAGTAGCTATCTCATCTAGTAATGAATAGGCAGCCTCTACACTCTTGGATGTCAATGCACCCCATGCTGTAGCGTCTACTATTGTCCATGTCTAACCATTCAACCTATTGTAAAAGAGTTCGATTTGCATCCAATTCTGATAACCATGTTGGGGGCATCTTCTGAGTAGATCTTTGAATCTCTCCCAAGCTTCATAGAATGATTCGAAGTCAACTTGTCTGAACTGACCAATTTCACTCTGCAATTGAGCTGTCTTGGAAGGAAAAATGAATTTGGTGAGGAATTTTTGAGCGAATTCTTCCCAAGTTGTGATAGATCAACGATTGGAACCATACTTTTGCCTTATCTCTTAAAGAGAAGGAAAATAAGCAGAGTCAGATGATGTGATCAGTAACACCATTCATCTTGACTGTATCACAAATTTCCATAAAAGACCTCAGATGAGCATTTGGCTCTTCTGTTAGAGCTCTCCCAAACTGATTTTCTCGTAGCTATTGTCAGATGTGCAATATCGAATTAGTTCTCATCGACAACTGGTCTGATGTAACCCTTTATTGCCCTTTGTTGAACATTACGATTGTTTTGATGTGCTATTGGTAGATCTTGTTCTGCCATTGTTTCAAGGTTTTGTCTCTGTAGGCCCCTTAAAAATGGAGAGTACGTTCTGGTTCAGGGCTAATGGGTAGTAGTTCGAGACTTTTCGATCTTCGCATAAGCTGAAATAAGAATCAAAGTCTCATTAAAAGTAAAGAAATCTAAATTAAAACAAAAACTACTTGGTAATAATATTAGCATAAATTAAATTAAACAATCACCGACAACGGCGCCAAAATCTTGCTACACATTTTCCACAACGTAATTTATACCACAGGTGTACAGTGTCAAGTCTTGTAATATAGTAAAAGAGTTAAGAATGTCAAACCCATAAGAATTGTAATTCAATTTCTACTAAGTATTGTACTTGTGTAGCTCTTATTTTATCTAGATGAATGAAAATTTGAAATCAATGATTTTAACTAAATTAATGTGATGAATGTGGTGAGAAATTCAACAAATAAATGCAAGATATAAGAATAATCAACATGAGAAAGTCTAGGGTTATGATTTCACCTCACCATCAAAAATGATTTTCAAAAGCCTAGTTATTTCTAATCAATTTTCCATGTTTATAAGCAAGAACCCAAATGTAATTCTATCCCCTCTCTCGAGTGCCGGCTAGAAATTAATTCCAATATCACTACTCCAAATTAAAATCAAGAATTTATCAAAGTCCTGGTTCTTTTATGGAGAAAGCTTCATAAATCTTATACTTTCTCTCGAAACCCATAAAATCTATGTTGTGTTAAACTTATGATCATGCCTAAATTCTCCTCTCTCAAGTGCTAAAAATGACTAGCATCTACTCATTCAATTAGTGATCAATTAATTGAAAGCATTAAAATCATAACACAAATAAACACATGTCGAAAATCAAATAAAATTAATAAGTCCATATTCTCAAATTTTGGTTACAATCAAATTCTAGATTAAATGTTTAGTTCATGATGGATGAATTAAATCTAAACATATTTACGAATAACATAAAGAGAAAGAGAAAGAAAAACTCTTTTGAAGCTTTTAATTGGAATTCTCTTTGATATTCTTCATTCCTCTTTGCTTGATTCCTTGATGTTAGCCTTCTTGCCCTTGATGAATTTTGTGTTGAATTGTCTTCAATCTTACCCCTCTTCAATTTGTTCAAGAAATTAGGTCTTTTGAATGATATTTACGGTATCTTGAAATTTTTGGATGAATCATGGTTGAGTTGGGCCAAGAAAATTGAAATCCTTGTCCCGCATAGTTGGCACCTCGCGCCTGGTTCAGTTGAAAAGATAGACTGTACGTCATTCAGTTTTTTTAGCGTAGGTATTTTTTGCTATGTCAAAAGTTGGTCTCAATGAGAGACGAAAACTCCGGAGCATAACTTTTCATCGAAAATTGATTTACGATCATATTTTGATTAAATTTGATCCCTTTGACATCTTTCTTTGTCCAATACGATGTTCGACACAACTTTTAATTATTTCCATTTTAGTTCCCGAACTTTGGATTTTTTTCAATTTGGCCATTTCTCTCCAATTTTGCCAACTTTTACTTATTTCCTTTAATTTCATCAATCTATATCACAACATCAAAACACACATTAAACGCTCTAAAATTCGTAGGAATTAGGTAAATATCAAGTTTAGATAGGTATCTAAAGTATGAATAAAATATATTCATCAATATCTCAACAACACAAAGAAGTCATTCGAAGAAAAAATTGAAGTTGTTTGTCGAACAGTATAAACGTACACTGCGGAATAAGGTTGAGACGGAATTCTAGGCCGATTTCAAGTCATTTTCGCAGATGGTACCATGTACAACACAATATGAAATGGAGCAACAGTTGCAATCAGTCTATACCATTTCTAAATTCAGGAAAGCTTAGGATGAGTTCATGGGAAAGGTTTATTGCGACTTCATATCTACTTAGGAGGGGTCTTTCGGCACGACATAAGGAGTACGGTAGGGTGTTATGTACGAGGGCCAAAGAAAGAAAAAAATGCTTTGTCTCATTTAAGAGAGAAAGTTGTGAAGCTGTATACAGTTACCATTTGTTCGAATTTCAAGGAATAGTTTAGCATCATGCGATCTTAGTCTTGATTCACAGCGATGTCACCTTACATCCGGAAAAGTATATACTACGGAGGTGGAGGAGTAATGTTAGTAGAGCACATGCAACAATGTCAATGAACTACGATGGTTTGGTTAGTTCTCTTGAACGGTTGAGGTACAATGACATTGTCGCGCATTTGTACAGGTTCTAGACCTTGCTGTCGATGATGAAGGGTTAGTACATGCGATTAGGGACTGGAAAAAGTATAATGTGAAGATATGATGACGTGAAGAAGGTTGAGTATTAGAAGCAATGTCCTCATTCATCACATTAGTTAGGTAGTTGAACAATGTACTACTTTGCAAAATAATGTAAGCATGAATGTGAGGGATTCAAAATTGTCGAACAGAAATGGAGCACCCAGGAAATTGCAGAGAAATTGCATAAAAATTTTGGATATCATGAGGATAAGTCAAGAATATTTTTACTATACACCGATTAGTTTATGATTCACAATTCGTGAAAAAATTTGAAGATGGATGGGTTGCAATTGTTGATACGTATCATTTGTACGATAATGATTGGTTTTTTGGACTTTTTGATAACAGAGGTCATTAGCTGCCATGTTTTTTGAAGACTGCTTTCTGGGGTAGGTATGTCAACAACATAAAGAAGTACAAGTATGAATGCATTCTTCGATGGCTATGTGCATTCAAAGACAACCATGAAGCAGTTTATCGAACAGTATGAACGTACACTGTGAAATAAGGTTGAAAATGAATGTTAAGCCAATTTCAAGTCATTTCCACATATGATACCATGTGCAACACAATATGAAATGGAGCAACGTTTGTGATCAGTTTATACTATTTCTAAATCAGGAAAGCTCAGGATGAATTCACCGAAAGGTTTACTGTGACCTCATATCTACTTAGGAGGGGTCTTCCAGGAAGACGTAATAAGTACGAAAGGATGTTATGTACGAGGGCTGAAGAAAGAAAATAAATCATTTGTCTTATTTGAGAGAGATAATTGTGAAGTTGTATGCACTTGCCATTTGTTCAATTTTCATGGCATAGTTTACTATCATACGATCGTAATCTTGATTCGCAGCAATGTCGCCTTACTTCCAGAAAGGTATATATTACGGAGGTGGAGGAGACATGTTAGTAAAGCACATGTAATGGTATTAATGAACTATGATGGTTTGGTTAGTACTCCTGAACAGTTGAGATACGATAACATGTGTCGTACGTTCATGTAGGTTCTAGACCTTGCTGTTGATGATGAAGGGTAAGCATGTGCGATTATGGACTAGATAAAAGTACAATGTGAAGACTTGTTGATGTAAAGAAGGTTGAGTATTGGAAGCAATGTCCTCACGCATCACACTGGTCAAGAGTTGAACAGTTTACTACTTCATAAAATAATGCAACCATGAACATGCAGGATTCAAAATCATCGAATAGAAAGGAGTACCTAGGAAACTGCAAAGAAAAGGCCTATTGGAGTCGATTTACACCATATGAAGTTATATTTAAGTAAAAAAACTATAGATAGCAATGGACTATATATAAATACTATTTACCTTAGGGGGCACATGCTGGGAATTTCAACATCAACAAAAGGAAAGAGACCGAGGGCGAGGCATAGTGATATGCAAGATGGTGGAGTTGATGTTCAGCATACATCGCAACAACATTACTCCGTGCATACACTGATGTCATTTTTCAGTACTTCATGACAAAACAATGCCCATTCCCATAGTATTTGTTCGCTATGCTGTTATTCTACACAGGCGTCTTACAATCTTCAAGTTTTATTCCTCCGTCGTCGTCATCAAATGTTAATTATACT